TGACTGTTCTCCCGGCCCCTCACTGCCTGGGGAGCCCAGCCAGGAACCCCCCTGTCCCGACACTGAATAATCACGAAAATACCTCATTAGTTTGTATTAGAGAGCACAGGTCAGGGTGAAATCTCAGGCGAGTTTCCTTACTCCACACACACGCCTCCGTTTACCTAACACTGAGTAAGACCACTTGTTAGTCCATTGGCAAATCACTTTCTGAAAGTAAAAATTCCCCCAAAAATGTAGTCATTCAATCCACGACTGCTTGTGGGACACTTACTGCTGTGCACAATTCGCTAACACTTTTTGCCCACATACACAGTCACTACACTTTACAGTATGCTTGTGAAGCGCTTTGAGACGTCTAAATGACGTGGTAAGGCGTTAAATCAAATGCATTATTGGGGGGAGGGGAAACTGATCACAAAGACATGTTATGGAAGACTGAACGAGCGAGTGAAAGCACAGGACATGTGCCCACCCACCCGCCCGCCCCTGGTAAACAACACCTCAGTGAGGTCAGGACCTGCAAGGGATGGGTTCCAGCAGCCCTGACCTCAGCACACGTCTCCCTCAAGGCTTGAAATTCCCATCGTTTCCCGTTACGTTTCAGCGCCTTGGGACACCCTCCCGTGAAAGACGCTAAATAAATGCAATGACCTCAAGAGAGAGACTGGTACTGAGTGAGTGGATCCAGCGCCAATAGTCATGGACTCATGGAAAGCTCTATGTGACACTCCACAGCAGCTCAGAACAGGACAAACAGAAAGAGCTGCTGAGGACGTCTGGACACTGGTGGAGTGGAGCTGCTGCTTTGACAACGCCTGGGACCTGGGGCCTAAGGCTTTTGGAGTGATTGGGAAGGGAGGGGGGAGAGGGGAAGAGAAAGTGGGGGAAGAGAGGAGCGAAAGAGAGGGGGTAAGAGTAAGAGAGAGAAGTGGGCAAGGGGGAAAGAGATGGAAGAGAAAGGGGGGGACTGCTGGTTGGAGGGGCGGAGTAAGAGGGGATTGGGGGGAGAGAAAAGAGATTTGACCCCTTGGATCTTTGGACTAAACAAAAACAATAATATAAACACATATATAAAACATAATTCCCACCTTTCTACCTTCTTTCCCCAACCAAAGCAACTACAAGTGGGAAATTAAAAAAAACAGTTATGTACTGTTAAATCAGTGGTAAAATCCTGCCCTCCCCAAAACACACTACGTTCCTTAATTAAGTAATGTAGTCAAACAGTCACTCTAATTTACAGTAAATTCTGTGAAGCGCTTTTTAAATGTCTCAGCGAAGTGAAAAGGCTCTGTATCAAAAGCATTAATAACATAATTAAAACGTGTTTTGAAAACTTGTCTCTCTCCCTTCACTCACACACATACCCACATACACTTACACACAGACACATACCCACACATACACTTACACACAGACACATACCCACATACACTTACACACAGACACATACCCACACATACACTTACACACAGACACATACCCACACATACACTTACACACAGACACATACCCACACATACTTACACACAGACACATACCCACACATACACTTACACACATAGACACATACCCACACATACACTTACACACATAGACACATACCCACACATACACTTACACACATACATACCCACATATACACTCACATACGCAGACACGTACCCACACACTCACACTTATACACACACATCCACACACACATACCCACACATCCACACACACATACACACACATACCCACAAATATACTCACACACACAAACACACACCTACATAGACATACCCACATATACCCACACATACTTACACACACACACACACACACACGCAAATGATTAATATAGATTTGGTCCCAAAACACTCAGCATTACAGACCCAGCATTACTGGTGGGGGGAGAGATAGGGGGAAAGGTGGGAGGAGGGGTGGAGGAGTGAAGGACTTTATTGAGGTCGAATTGTGCACCACTGAGACCCCATCGAGTGTCCTCAAACAGTATCCAATAAATAAGGAACGGAATACGGAATGTGTTGGGAGTTAATGAATTCTGACCCCACCGAAGAAGTTGAAGCACATTCTCTCCCCACTAACACTGCTGCTCCTTCCCCATGTCCCGCAGCCCCTCAGTCATGGTGATGGAGTGACCGCACGGACCCTGATGTGATTGGCTATTTAGTGGTTGTTAAATGGCATTTGTCTGATTTGGCTTTGAGAAGCGAGAGTTCAGCTGGGGCTGGCCTGCTTTTATTAGTTTGGTCGCCTACAAAATACAGTCACTACACTTCCCAGTGAGATCCTGTGAAGAGCTTTGAGACGTCCTGCGTCCTGCCCATCATGAGAGGCCCAGGAGCAAATCTCAAGGATTATTTTATTTTTCTAGTTTATCTTTAAGCAGTGATGGGTTTCCATGTGTGGCGGAGCCCCAGCTGACAAGGTACCACCCAGAGTCTCTCCAGCCGAGGTGACAGTGCCCCATGTAAAGCGCAAGGATCTTCTCAGCCACCTCTTCCCTCATCAAGTCATTTTACAGTGAATCCTGTGAAGCGCTTTGAGATGTCTCAAAAACATGATAAGGCGCTGTATCAAATGCCAGGATTATTATTAGTATTTTTTTAAAACAGAGAAAGGGAATGGGAAGAGGATAGAGAGGAGGTGAAGATATTGGAAAACAAAAACAGGAGGCAGGAGTGTTCAGGCCCATATGTTAAAGCAATTATAACTCACTCCAACCCTACCTCCCCCCCCCCACACACAGCCTCACTCTCTGCCTCACTCCCTCAGTAACACTCTCTCCAGGAGTGGGTAAATAAAAAGCAATATTAGTAAAAAAAAATTACACAATCCCCGTCAGCCATAAACACTCCAAACAAAGCCACTGATTATAAGGAAAGGATGTGCAATCCAACCGACCCACCACCAACCAACTACCCACCCACCCACCCACCACCCACCACCAACCAACTACCCACCCACCCACCCACCCACCACCAACCAACTACCCACCCACCCACCCACCACCCACCACCAACCAACTACCCACCCACCCAACACCCACCACCAACCAACTACCCACCCACACCACCCACCACCAACCACCAACCAACTACCCACCCACCCACCACCAACCAACTACCCACCCACCCACCACCCACCCACCAACCAACTACCCACCCACACCACCAACCAACTACCACCACCCACCCACCACCAACCAACTACCCACCCACCCCCACCCCACCAACCAACTACCCACCCACCCACCACCCAACCAACTACCACCCACCCACCACCCACCAACTACCCACCCACCACCACCCCACCAACCAACTACCCACCCACCCACCAACCCACCCACCACCAACCACCCACCACCAAACGACTACCCACCCACCACCAACTGACTACCCACCAACCACCCACCCACCAACCAACACCACCAACCACCCACCCACCACTAACCAACTACCCACCCATCCACCACCAACCAACTACGCACCCACCAACTACCCATCCACCACCACCACCCACCACCAACCAACTACCCACCCACCCACCACCAACCAACTACCCACCACCCACCCACCCACCACCAACCAACCACCCACTCACCACCAACCAACCACCCACCCACCCACCACCAACCAACTACCCACCCACCCACCACCAACCAACCGACCCACCACCAACCAACTACCCACCCACCCACCACCAACCAACCCACCACCAACCAACACCCACCACCAACCAACTACCCACCCACCAACCACCCACCCACCACTAACCAACTACCCACCCAACTACCCATCCACCCACCACCAACCCACCACCAACCAACCACCCACCACCAACCCACCCACCACCAACCACCCACCTACCACCAACCAACTACCCACCCACCACCCACCAACTACCCACCCACCAACTACCCATCCATCCCACCCACCCACCACCAACCAACCACCCACCACCAACCCACCCACCACCAACTACCCACCCACCACCCACCAACTACCCACTCACCACCCACCAACTACCCACTCACCACCCACCAACTACCCACCCACCACCAACCAACCACTAGTGCACACTATAAAAAGAAGGTCTCTTTTAACAAGTTTCACGGGGGAGAGAGGACTGGGATATGCCGCAGCCCAGGCACTGGGACCCTTAGCCTTTATTGGAGCTCTGACCGCCACTCCCCCAACAAACACACACCATCCTCCCATTATAGCACCACACACCAGGTACCAGGAACAGGTGATTACCTGTTCAATAGCAGTACCAGGTCAGCCAGCTTTGATGGGGGGTGAAATAGAGGAGATGGGGAAGAATGTGTGTGAGTGGGTTTTTTTTGTGTGTGTGTGCGTGCTTGTGTGCGATTTTGTGTGTGCGATTTTGTGTGTGCACATGGAGCGGGAAAGAGGGAGGGGGAAAAAAAATCTTTGGCAGACCTGGTTGAGAGCAAGAAATAAACCCCCCCACTTAATAATAAAATATTATTAATATAATAATATTATTTTTGTAACTACAACAGTTATTATTACTACTACAACAGTGTGTGGCACAGAGATATTATGTAATATATATAATCCATATTATATACAAATGTGTTGTTCCTCCCACAAACACAATCAAAACCACTTTACAGTGTTTCCTGTGAAGTGCTTTGAGCCGTCTTGACGACATGATAAGGCGCTGTATCAAATACAAGGATTATTATTATTATTATATAATCTGACCAAGTACTTGGCCAGTGATGTTTTGTGAGGCTCCGCTGCTGTTGTTAAGCCAAGTGTAAGTGCCGCACCACAGGAGGGAGGGAGGCCACATGTTGATTACCTCCTGTATATAAACAAACTCTCTCTCAGTACGTTTACTACACCTGGCAGTGATGAACAACCCAAAAAACAACCCCAACCCCAAAACAAACCCCGCCCTCATCCCCCACCCCACCCCACCCACCGCGCACACATCATGATCAGGAACCTCCGATGTGCATCTCTTCATGATTCAGATAAATAACACATTGTAGAATCGCGTCAACCGATCTGGAATGGCAGAGGTCAGCCTGCGCAGCATGAGAGTTTGCTTTCCTTTCTCTCTCTCTCTCTCTCTCAAAAACTTTTCTGTGGTCTTCTTACTGGGACTTCGGGGGCTCCACCAAAATGACAGGCCAAACTCCCAACAGAAACTGGAGAGGTTAAAGCACAGACAGAGACACAGCTCAGCATTGTGAACATAATACAACAACAACAAATTGCCCCTATATAGCGTCCTCCACGCAGGGCAGCGCCTCGGAGCTTAACAATAGCGGAGCCTGACTCCGAGCCGGGGGGGAGGGGGAGATGGCCGTACATATGGTCGAAGAGGGGAGTTTTCAGGCGGCACTTGAAAGAGGAGAGCGAGGGGGCGAGGCGGAGGGATTGAGGGAGAGTGTTCCAGAGTTTTGGGGTCTAGTGGCTGAAAGCTCGACCTCCGATGGTGGGGCGGAGGGTGTGAGGGACGAGCGGAGCCGGTGCCCGTCGAGCGGAGGCCCCGGGTGGTGGATTGGGGAGTGAGGGGGTCGGGGAGGGAGGGACGGGTCAGGGAGTGAAGGGGTTTGAACACGAGAGTGAGGATGTTGAAGTGGATGTGTTGGTGATGGGGAGCCAGTGGAGCCGGGGCCAGAGCTGGGGAGATGTGGGTGTGGAGTTGGGTCGGGTCGGTATGTGGGCGGCAGAGTCTGAATGGGCTGATCGTGTGCAGCCGGGGAGACGGCGAGGAGGGGGTTGGAGTAATCCAGGCGGGAGGTGACAAACACATACACGAGGGTTTCGGGTGCATTTGGGGTAAGGTACGGAGGTGGAAGAAGGCGGTTCCTGATAGGGACCGGATGTGGAGGAAGGGCAGCTGTGGGTCGAACCAAATGCTTAGATTGTGCACTGGTTCGGTGAGTCTGAGGGAGAGCCCAGGGAGGCTGAGGAGTTTAGATCCGCAGGAGTAAAGACATTGATGGGAGCCAAGGAGTATGGTTTCCGTCAACGTAGCATAACACAATATACATTATATTTATGATATGGCGCCTTTCTTTTTGGGAGGACGTCCCAAGGCGCTTGACAAAGTCATGGCTGGGCACCCGAGCTGGGGCTGAGAAAGGGGAAAGGTGACCCAAAGCGCAGTCCTTAAGAGGAAGGTCTTGAGACGGATCTTGAAATAATAATCCTTGGATTTGATACAGTGCCTTAACATGTCTTCGAGACATCTCAAAGCGCTTCACAGGATATACCTTAAAGTGAATTGGCTTTGTATTTTGTGGGCGAAACACAAAATTGCGCACAGCAGCGTCACACAAACAGTCGTGGATTGTGTGACCACATTATTATTATTTGAAGGGAATATTACCCCTGGAAAGCAGTGAGGGACTGACGAGCCGGAGGGGCTCTGGGAGGTGTTCCAGCTAGTGGGTTGGGATGGAAGGATTTGAAGAATAAAGGAAGCGAGAGGACCAAGGCTCGATTGCCGGGCAGGGTTGAAACCTTAGGCAAGTTTCCTTACTCGACATGCCTCTGTTTACCAGCAGTCAGTAGGTCTACTTTCCAGGTAGCTTCACATTAAAAATGATCACAACCAAACACAGTGTCTTGGAAAGTTTTTTGGGAAGCAAGTTTATACTCTCCCTTTAAGCCACTATTAACTTTGAGGAAGGTCCGCACTAAACCGGACTTACTCCATTTACATATAGACCTACCTTCACTTTAGGTCTGTACTTCAGATATAGGGTTCTTGTATACAAGCTGTAAAAGAGAGGGTAGCAGGTCAGCACATTAACTAGCGCAGCTCCATTTATTATATGGTTCAAGGTGTCCGCCTGGCTCAGTCGGTTGCACTCTCACCTCAGTCAGAAGGTTGCGGGTTCAGGACTTTAGGACTTTTGAGCTCATAGTCTGGGCTGACGATCCAACACAGTACTGGGTGGTTGGGTGGGGAATGCCACAGGGGGTCCACAAAGTCCTGTTCCCCCATGATTTTTTCCCTCCAGTAAACTGACCAGTTAGTGCGATTTACTGCAGGACTTTATGAACCCCCTTGTACATTGTCAGGGGTGCCTCCCTTTGGATGAGACATCAAAACAAGAGGCTGTTCACAGACAACTCACACAGAGAAGGGAGTTTTTCCTGGTGCCCTGGCCATCAACTCCAGATAAAAACACACACAGCAAGGTCCGCAAACAGCAGCAACAATTTGCATTTACACTGCAACTCGGAGCAATAAACAGTGGAGGAGCCTGACGCCGAGCCAGGGAGAGATGGGAGGTGACTGTAGGCACAGTCAGAGAGAAAGATGCGATCTGAAGACATTCAAGGTGGGAGAAGGTGAAGGGAACAAGGATGGGGAGTTCCTGGATTTCGGGACACGATCACTAAAAGCACCTCAGGAGAGGAAAGTGCATGAAAAAGTCTGAGAAACAATAAATATCCCTTGATATGGCATCTTATCACGTCACTGAAATGTGTCGAAGCACTTCACAGGATTTACTGATAAGTGTAGTGACTGTGTATTTGTAGGTGAATGCGACAGCCAAATTTACAAACAGCCACGTCCCACAAACAGCCATGAAGTGAGTGAACAATATTAATCCTGGGGGATTATTGGCACAATTGTAGATGGATTAGCCACTCAGTATCTAAAATTCCTCCCACCGCAGATCCCACTAAACAGTTTCCATGGCATTTAATAGAGTGTTATTCAAGAGCAAAACCAATCCACCTCCCCACTTTTTAGAGGGCAATCTGACCTCAATGTCGACCCGTCTTATTTAGATCAGAGAGTTCCAACTGGCCTCGGGCCGGAGGATGCTTTCATCCAACCCTCAAACCATTCCCAACGTCATTGTCCGATGAGCAAAAATGTAGGTGACACATACGCAGGCCCCGAGCCAATCAGGGGACAGTCACCGGGGCCTCAGGCTCTGCCCGGTTACAAGATTAGCCAATCAGTGGACAGTCACCGGGGCCTCAGGCTCTGCCCGGTTACAAGATTAGCCAATCAGTGGACAGTCACCGGGGCTCAGGCTCTGCCCGGATATGAGATTAGCCAATCAGGGACAGTCACCGGGGCCTCAGGCTCTGCCCGGTTACAAGATTAGCCAATCAGGGGACAGTCACCGGGGCCTCAGGCTCTGCCCGGTTACAAGATTAGCCAATCAGGGACAGTCACCGGGGGCTCAGGCTCTGCCCGGTTACAAGATTAGCCAATCAGGGGACAGTCACCGGGGGCTCAGGCTCTGCCCGGATATGAGGTTATTCTGAGCTTATTATGGTCAGGATGTGGTTTATGTGCCCCCGGACGGTGTCCGGCCCTCAGCAGCCAGAGCCCCACCCGATATCAGACAAGGAGGCTCAGGCCAGGGCACAGGACTCAATTAAAAACACCAGCTCGCTGCTGTGAAGCGAGGATGATTGGGTGGGTATTCGGGATGGATGAGATCACGTGGGCCATGAAACCACTTTCATTTGGAGCCCTCTTCTGATCATATGAAATGAGATATGAATGAAATAGGTTAATCCCTTTCCTGATCCATGTGAAATGCTAATCCTATTTAATTGGATTGCATTCCTTTCTCCTTCCAAATCACTCAGTCTGACTCCCCGCTCCCTCAAACATTTCCCTGGCACAGCCTAGCACAGTGATAGCCCTCTCGCCTCCAAGTCAGAACGTTGTGGGTCAGGACTTTGAGCTCATGGTGTAGGCCGACTCTCCAGTGCGTGGGGAGCATGGCATTGTCGGCCTTCAGGTGAGTTATTGAAATCGAGGTCTGATCTGTGTTTGTTCAAGTGCACGTTATAGATTCAAAAATAAAAGGTAGTTTCTCTGTCCGTTGTCCGAGTCAACAATCCCCCAGATAAGACTGTTCATTCACTTCTTGGCTGTTTGTGGGTCACCGCTGTGTGCAAATTGGCTGCCATGTTTTGGCCACAGTCACTGCACTTTACAGTATATTCTGTGAAGCGCTTTGAGATGTCTCAATGACGTGATCAGGTGCTATATCAAATGCAAGGATTATTATTATTATTATCCGGTGTCTTTGTTGTGCGTCACCAAGTTAAAAACAGGGATGGAGTACAGCAGAATAAATTCTTTCTTGAATATGCTCCACACCATCTGTTTTCTCCGCCTCCCTGGGTAGCGAATCCCTATTCAATGGCAGGGTTTCAGGCTGAGATACTACACAACAACAAAACAAATAACAAATGACATTTGTATAGCGCCTTTCATGTCAGGAGCACGTCCCAAGGCAGTCAGGGATCTTCACCTGAGATGGTGATTGGATCAGGAGGGGTGGAGGGAGGGAAGGTGTAGGAGGGTGACCGAAGGCACGGTTGAAGCGGAGGGTCTTGAGACGTGCCTTGAAGGAGGTAAAGGAGGGTGCGAGGCGGAGGGACTGAGGGATGAGTTCCATAGGGCAGAGGCTGAAAGCCCACCCGCCAATGGTGGGGCAGACAAGGCACGTGAAGCAGGCTAGAACCCGCTGAGCCGAGGGAGTGTGCAGGTTTGTAGGGGGTGAGGAGGTCACAGAGGTAGGGAGGAGCAAATCTATGAAGGTGAATACCAGGATCTTAAACTGTGTGATGGGAAGCCAGTGGAGTCGGGCGAGGATAGGGGTGATAGGGTTATGGAGCCCGGTGCGGGAGAGGACACGGGCTGCAGAACTCTGGGTGATCTGCAGCCTGTGGAGGGAGGAGTTGGGGAGGCCGACAAGCAGGGAGTTTGCGCATTTGAGCCTGGATGTAATGAATGCATATGTGAGGATCTCGGGGGCCTGAGGTGCGAGACAGTGGTGGAGCTGGGCGATGTTGCAGAAGTGGGAAAAGGCGGAACAGGTCATGGCACGGATGTGGGGGATGAAGGACAGTTGAGGGTTGAACAGGACGCCGAGGTTCTTATTGGCTCCATGAGGTGTAGAGTGCAACAACAGAGGGTGATGCTATCAGCGCCCGAGGTATGGAGACGTGATACACAGAGAGCAACAAAGAACTCAACACCACAAGAAGGAGCCAACTACATCACTGCTCGCTGCTTCTCTAAGTTGCCTTTAATATTATAATCTTTGCAGTTGATACAGCGCGTTATCACGTCTTTGAGACGTCTCAAAGCACTTCACAGGATAACTTCAAGTGACTGTATATTTTGTGGGTGAAACATGGCAGCCAATTGTGCACAGCCGTGTCCCACACCAGTCGTGGATTGAGAGACCAAATTATTATTTTTTATGTTGAAGGGATTATTATCCCCACTTTCCAGTTCTCTCCCTATGTCATACAGTGAAGCAGCGTCAGCAGTGTTTGACTGGATTGTGTTATGGCCACAGACTGATAGTTTGTGGCAGTCTTTCCTCGGAGACAGAAGCCTTTGGGCTCAAGCCCCACATCTCAGGAACTGAGGTCAGTCAAGGTCAGTCACGGTACAGTACAGTGTTGGGCACGCGGAGCATTGTCAGAGATGCCTTCCTTCAGGTAAGAAGTTGATCCTGATCAGGTGGATGTTAAAGGTCCAAAGAGAGAGGAGATCCTCTCTCCCAGTGTCCTGATCATCAATTCCCAAGACAAAATTGGTTGTTCACTTCATGCTGTTTCTGGGACATTGCCTCATGTCAAAATTGGTTGCTGCTTTTGTCTGCAAATATTACACTCATGCACTTTTCAGTAATGTCATACGAAGCACTTTGAGATGTTTCGACGACATGAGAAGGCGTTGTATCAAATGCAAGGATTATCACTACAGAATGTTAGTTTAGCTTCACTTCGTCTGACACAAACCCAGTTTCAGTGCAGTTCACGACAACACATATAGGCCCAGCTGAACCCAGTGACTGTACCTGAATAGAATGTGCAAGTAGGAGCCCAGGCCTGTGAGGATGTGCCACCAGGCATGAAACTGCGTCAAAGCACCCAAGATGTGGAATGGTACCTTCTGTCTGATATCCCTGTGGAGGAGACAGCAGGTGTGTTACTCGGCAATGGTCAAAAATCACTCAGTAATTGAAGTCCAGTCAGAGACTGAAAAGTACAATGGATTGGTTGCCCTGACAAATCCTTGACTGTCCAGCGCCTTGGCATGTCTTCCCGATGTAAAAGGCTGTGTAAATGTAATTTGTTGTTGTTGACCTCTCCCAAACATTTCCAAGGCAACAACATATACCAGGCTCTGAGAGCCTCTTACCCCCGCCGCCCGCCCCCCTACTGTGGAGACCTGTAGCTCAGTGGTTAGAGCACTCGCCTCGCAAACGAGAGGGTTCAATTTCCGGGCACGGCGAAATATTGGGCAAGTTTTCTTCCTCCACTCTACACATGCCTCTGTTTACCTAGCAGTAAGTAGGAACTCGGTTGTGGAGTAAGGAAACTTGCCAAACATTTAGACCTGTCCGGGAATTGAACCTGGGTGCTCTCATTTGTGAGGCGAGCATGCTAACCCCTACACCACGGCATCTTTCTGTGCTTGTGCCAGAGGAACGTTAAACCTTACAGTCTTGCAAAACTCTCCTCTGGCATCGGGTAATGGCAGTAAAAAATCAGTCTCAACTGTTGAATCATTCAAATACAAATTAAATAAGATTTAAGATTTCTTTTAGAAAATAATATTTGGGATAGAGTACACGAGTAATTTGAGACATGACACAGGGTAAGCGTAATATGCTTGGAAGAACTATGGATTTGAATTTCCCAAGACTACCACTGTGATGGTAGACCAACCCATACAGAATTAATTGCTATCAACATCTCCATTATTGTAGTATGCGACTACCAGGATAGTAGAGGGTCCTGTAGGGGTTGGAGCACTCGACTCGCAAACCAGAGGACCTGGGTTAGATTCTTAGGTAAGTTTCCTTACTCCAGATGTCTTTGCTTACCTAGTTATTAGTCAATTGGTGGATCGCTTGATGGGAGCAATAATCAAAAAAATAATAAATAATAATAATCATTTGGTCACTGAATCACTGCGGGACACTGCTGTGTGCAATTGGCTGCTGCTTTTCACCCACAAAATATAGTCACTACACTTTACAGTATAATCTGTGAAGAGCTTTGAGACACCTCGATGATGTGATAAAGCGCTATATCAAATGGAAGGATTATAATTATATATGGACCTTAGTCTTTTCAGGTCTACCAATTGCCAAGTTGCTGCACTAACATCCCGGAGTTGGGTGAGCATAAGTTATACCCCAATTTATTTAGCAAACAAACCATTGATCAATGGAATTACCTCCAGGTGTCACAGAAGATGTTGTCTACATTCCAGAGGACGAAGCCCATCAAAAATATACCTAGTGAGGTATAGGCCAGAGGTCTGAGCCAAGGGTGGACCCTGAGGGAGTAAAAGAAATAAAGTAAGATGATCAAAGCTCATGGCACACTGACATGAGCAGCTCAGTCTCTCTGTTTCAGTCTCTCCTGCACCAGCCTCTGTGACCCCATTATCCCCCTCCCCTCGCCCGGCTCCACTGACTCCCCATCTCCCAGAAGATACAGTTCAAAATCCTCGTCCTCGCCTTCAAAGCCCTCCACGGCCTTGCCTCCTCTGTGACCTGCTAACCCCATAACAACCTGTCCACTACCACCGTTCACCAGTCCCTGGCCTGTTCCACGTCCACTTGTCTGGCCCACCCCACCATTCAGCATCTTTGCCCCCACCCTTTAAAATTCCATCTTAGTCCCTTCGCTTTGCACGTTTTCTTGCCTCCTTCAAAGCCCGTCTCAAGACCCTCCCGTTTGACCTCACCTTCAGTCACTCTCCTACCCCCACCATCCCTGACCTCCACCCCTCCTGACCCCCAGCTTAGGTCCAAACCTTTGACTGTCAGCGCCTTGGGACGTCCTCCTAACGTGAAAGACGCTGTGTAATATAAATGTGTTATATAAATGTAATTTGTTGTTGTAAATGTAATTTACTGTTGTTAAAGAACGGTTGGATTTTACACCATGGCCCTACCCTCCCTCGCCCCCAGGGGGCGTTACATCAATGGAAACAAAGAGAAATTCATTTCTAAGTGTTGTGATGAGCTGACACACTGGGTACGGAATTCTCTCCTCCAGACTAGAAATGGGAGTGACTCCCACTCTGAGGATTTATCTTACATTAAATATCTCCCCGCATTGGGCTCGGGTCCCACTAGACATCACGTCTACAACACGGTAATAAAATAATAAACAGGATGTACACTGGGGCAGTTTAGAAGAAAACTTTCCCTCAGATCCCGTTATCTCCCTCAATACTGTACCACACTACTCGCCTACAAGCCATTCTTGTGCCACACAGTCACAGCACTTTACAGTATCTCCTGTGAGGCCCTTTGGGACGTCCACCCAATGTGAAAGACTGTACCAAATGGAAGGATTATTATTATTATGATTGTTATTAAGTTGCTAACATTTGCCAAACGCCAGAAGTTTGACCATTTTTGCACACACCTTGGAAGGATAGGAACAGGAGGAGGGCATTCAGCCCTTCGAGCCTGTTCCACCGTTTAATTAGATCATGGCTGATCTGTACCTCAACTCATCCATTCAATTCTAATTTCCCGCTTATTCCCCATATCCCTCGATGCCCTGACTTACCAACAATCTATCAACCTCGCACAGCATCCACTGCCTTTTGGGGGAGAGTTCCAGATTTCCACCACTCTTTGAGTGAAAAATTGCTTCCAGATTTCACTCTTAAATGGCCTGGTTCTAATTTTCAGACTATGTCCCTTCTTTTGGATTCCCCACCAGAGGAAACAGCTTCTCTGTATCTACCCTATAGAATCCCTTTATCATCTTAAACACCTCCATCAAATCCCCCTTCAACCTTCTAAACTCAAGGGAATGCAATCCAAGTTTACGCAGCCTTTCCTTGTAAGTAAATCCTTTTAGGCCTGGTCACATTCTGGTGAACAAAAATGAACCTTCTGCAGTAGCAGAGCAGAGATTGTGAGCAGTCGTAAGCCCTCCCGAGCCAAACAACAACAAACTTATGCAGCGCTATTTGTTGTTGTTGTTGCGCAATTTGGGGAGGACGTCCCACAGCGCTGGGAGGTTGAGGGTTTGCACCTGAGCCGTGGGTTGAATTTGAGAGGGGGGTGGGAGTCAAGGGGTGGTGGCAAGAGGTGCAATGGGAGTGGAGGGTAAGGGGAGTGGGGACAAGGCGGGGTGGGGCCAGACGGGGTGGGGTCAAAGGAGTTGGGGGTAAGAGCGTGGGGGTGGGAAGATGACCAAAGGCGAGGTCAAAGAGGAAGGTCCTGAAACGGACTTTGAAGAAAGCGAGGGATTCTAGGATATTTTTATAAAATAAAATCTTAATTTAAAAGTCTTAATTTACAATGGGTTGAAGGCAAAGAGTGAGAAATTTGGGTTGATGAGGAGGCTCTGACAGGAAGTAAATAGGAGGGCAGACATTCAGTTTTCTCCCACCTCCGCAACATTACCCGCCTTTGCCATTACCTCTTCCTCGAGCCATCAAGATCGGTAAAAATAAATAAATAAACATTATTCCAAGAATTCGTCTCTACTAATCCACGAATGACAATTTCACACGAAAGGCTACTTTGTGGTTTGGCAACTGGACTGAAATTCAAACCAGTATCAAAGAGTATCTTTTCACCAACATCTTTCCAATATTCCTGTTGAATATCAACTGTGCTTTTTATTACCTTACAACTAGTCTTTGTAGTAACCCAGTTGCCAAAGCCATTATTGTTGAGTACTTTGGAATGTCCTCCTGATGTGAAAAGCTGTATAAATGTAAATTTCTATTGTATTCATTTACATCGCACTGTATGTATGTAAATTTAGTATTACACCCTAAGTCATCAATGTGCAGTAATTGTCAACCAAAGAATCCGTCTGAAAAGGGACTATTACATGGCAATTACCTGAGCATCAACTCACACTTAATATAATAATAATAATCTTTGTATTTGATACAGCGTCTTATCATGTCTTCAAGAAGAGCTTCACAGAATACACTGTGAAGTGAATTGACGGTATATTTTGTGGGTGAAACGCGGCAGCCAATTGTGCACAGCAGCGTCCCACAAACAGTCGTGGGTTGAGTGACCACATTCTTTTTTGAAGGGATTATTACACCCAGAAAGTAATCCGCCAATCGACTAACAACCAGATTCCTGCTTACTGCTGGTAAACAGAGGTGTGTGGAGTAAGGAAACTTTGGTCACATACCGACCCCGACCCAACTCCACACCACATCTCCCCAGCTCTGGCCCCGGCTCCACTGGCTCCCCATCACCAACACATCCACTTCAACATCCTCACTCTCGTGTTCAAACCCCTTCACTCCCTGACCCCTCCCTCCCCGACCCCTCACTCCCCAATCCACCACCCGGGGCCTCCGCTCGACGGGCACCAGCTCCTGCTCGTCCCTCACACCCTCCGCCCCACCATCGGAGGTCTTATCAGAATTATAACTAAGGCCCTACAAATAAATCCGTTCTCAATAGCAAAGTCACAGATCACGCAGTGCGATGAAGTGTGACTGAATTCACACCAGACTCACCAGGTAACAATATATATTGACCGTAGAACGAGGCAGCCCACGAGAAAGCCATACATGACCTGGAACAGGAAGGAGACAACATCATCAAATTACATTTATATCGTAGCTTTCACAGAATATACTGTAAAGTGGATTGACTGTATATTGGGAGAATATATCAAATGCAAAGATTATTATTATTACTGTTGGTGGGCAACTATTCTGCCTCCCTTCTGGTTTCGACAACGCTGCACACCCCCAGCACAGTACTGGAGCATCAGTCTGGACTGTGTGAGTTCAACACCCAAAACAATTGCACAAGTTTGCCATGTTCTTGAATGTGGTTTAAGCCCGTGATTATTTGAAAGGCTTTTCCCCCTTCGTGTAGGAAGCTGTTTGCCCGTCTCTTTCGATGCTCTCAGCTCATCGTGTCTCCATGTCGGTGTCACATTGACAGTTGGAATGTTTGTCCCTGGGCAGGTTTTGCACTTTACAATACACACCGGTATCTCTCGGTCCTTTTGCAACTGGTCACCCACTAACTCTGTGAGGTGACGACAACATTTGTCATTATAGATGTTCTGTTTACAGCAAAACTCATTCTGCTGACAGCTCACGGTGGTGGAGACAACAGAGAGAACAAACAGCCTGCCAGACTAGACCACCTACTGCGCTGCTGTTAGTTGAAGAAAATAACACATAAGGACCATTTAGTCACAGCTTCAATAGAAAAGGTTTATGCTGGCTTTGGTTGGATGCTGGTGGGAACAATGTTTCCGCAGCAGAAAACAACAACAACTTACATTTATATAATGTTCTTTATACTGGACAGTGTGTCGGGAGTGCTGGAAACCAATAAGAGCTCGAACAACAATTCAGCACAATTGGTCCCAATGCCTCTACTATCAAGGCTGCAGCCTGGCTGAGTCACTCTGTCTCATAGTCACAAGGTTGCAGGTTGACAATAATAATAATCCTTGCATTTCATACAGCACCTTATCACGTCTTCGAGACATCTCAAAGCGCTTTGCAGAATATTCTGTGAAGTGAATTGACTGTATATTTTGTGGGGAAAATGTGGCAGCCAATTGTGTACAGCAGCGTCCCCACAAACAGTCATGGATTGAATGACCAATTTTTTTTTGAAGGGATTATTACTCGCGGAAAGTGATCCACTAATCAACCAACAACCGGTTTCCTACTCACTGCTGATAAACATACATGTGTGGAGTAAGGAAACTTGCCTCAGGTTTCTCCCTACCCGGGAATCAAACCCTGGTCTCTCGCTTGTGAGACGAGTGTCTAACCACTGAGCTACAGGACTCCAAACAGACATCTCTAAGACGATATATCAAATGCAAGGATTATTATTATTATCTTTTTTGAAATCTGGCCATGGGATCTTTAATCTGAACAGTCAGATGGGACCTCGGTTTAACATCTCATCCCAAGGACAGCACCTCCCACAATACAACACCCCCAGCGCTGCCCGGAGCCTCAGCTCAGACTGTGTGATTCCAGGTCCTGACGTGGGGCTTAAACCCACAACATTCTGACTCAGAGGCGAGAGACAGAGCGATATCCACTGAGTCGGGCTGATACACGCTGGCCGACTTCCAGGTCACCAGGTGAGCACCAGCCTCAGTTTTTAGTTCACGCATAGGTAATCCGCTAAACAGAACACGGCCATTTTAGCCATTAAATATCCCCTCATGTGTTGAGTTGGTGTGGATTCTAAACAACACATTGGCTACTCTGCATTTGAAAAGCAGCAAAATAAAATGTTGTGTGAGTGGGTGGGGGAGTGAGCAGCGGAGTGGGACTGAAAGAATAGCTCTTTCAGAACCAAATGGCTTCCTTCTGTAAAATTCTATAACTAATCATATAATAATAATAATCCTGGCATTTGATATAGCGCTTTTCACGGTTTTCGACGTCTCAAAGCGCTTCACAGAATAGACTGTAAAGTGAATTCACTGTATATTTGTGGGCGAAACGCAGCAGCCAATTGCGCACAGCAGCGTCCCACAAACAATCATGGATTGAGTGACCAATTATTGTTTTTTTGAGGGATTATTACCCCGGAAAGCGATCCGCCAATCAACTAACAACCGGGTTACTACTCATTGCTGGTAAACAGAGGCGTGTGGAGTAAGGAAACTTGCCTAAGGTTTCTCTCTGAACGGGAACCAAACCCAGGTCTCTCGCTTGCAAATGCGAGTGCTCTAAACACTGAGCTACAGATCCCACTGGTTAACTCATTACCTGGTTCGTGTGACCTTACTGCCAGTATTGCTAACAGAAAGAGTCACTGCACTGGTTAGTAATTACTTTAGAATGTTTTGATGTGATCAAAGCCTATAAACATCTCTTTTCAATCCACTCACTCACAAACGACATCTCCGTCGGCCCAGCTATTTCTGCTCAATGAGTCATTTTACATTAGTGCTGATGAAGTGAAAATGAGCCTTGTGAGAAAAGGGGAAGAACAGTGTTGGTCTGAAGAGCATCAGCATGTTGGATTCAGATGGGAAATGCAGAGGTTAAATGACACACAGGGCTACCTGAACATGGAGTGCCTCGTCACAAAAGGCTGACAAAACTGAGTCCACAATTAAGGAAAATTTTGCTTCACATCGGCCTGTACCACATCGCCTTCTACGTTCCCCACAAGCACTCAGCCCTCAATCTCAGGAACTCCTGTGGAGTCCTGTAGCTCAGTGGTTAGAGGCCTCGCCTCGCAAGCGAGGGGATCTGGGTTTGATTCCCAGGCAGGGCGAAACCTAGGGCAAACCCAGGGCGAAACCTGTGTTAATCCACACACACGATGGGGGGAGAGCAGGGAATGGGGTAGAGTAGAGAACTCCAGTGGGAGAGGGAGCACCAGAATGGAGACAAGAGAAAAAGTGCAGGGAGATGGGATTGGAATCGAGTGCTCTAATAATGAACAATGATCTGAAGGCACAGTCTGCGCTGTAAGATTTCTACCATTCCATTCTAGAATTGCTGACCGTCGGGAGAACCATGATAAAGTGCATCGAATTTCCCAGTGTGTAGAGACTAGCAGATTAATTCCTTTTTAAACTGGAGTCTTGTGTTTACTGGCAATTCCTCCCAATCTCCACTTTCCGCATTACGTTAACATTCCCAGCCTCAGCTCCCATGTCTCACAGCTCAGGCATCTAATTCCAGTGATCACTTTATATTAATAATAATCCTGGCATTTGACACAACGCCTTATCACGTCTTCAAGACGTCTCAAAGTGCTTCACAGGATATACTGTAAAGTGTAGTGACTGTATATTTTGTGGGCGAAATGGGGCATGGCAGTGTCTCACAAACAGTCGTGGAATGAGTGACCAAATAATTTTTTTTTGGGAGGGATTATTATCCCTTAAAAGTGATCCGCCAATCGACTAACAACCGGGTTCCTACTCACTGCTGTAAACAATGTGGAGTAAGGAAACTTGCCTAAGGTTTTGCCCCCCGCCCGGGAATCAAACCCGGGTCCTCTCGCTTGCGAGCCGAAGGCTGTAACCACTGAGCTACAGGACTCCACAATTTTGTGGCCCTGACCCCTCCTCCAATGCCAAGATTGGCCTAACATCCCCGGGAATGTGCTGCAACCTTTCCTGTCAGCCGACGAGTGAGTGAGTGAGCGAGCGAGCGAGCATGAACACGAGTTGTCTTGGAGGAGGCTGTTTCAGGGAACTGAACCCCCCCCACCCCCTCACAAGCAGAGCAAATCACTGACTGGCAGTTACAGAGCGAGACGACTTGTCAATGGACTGACTGTGGAAACCAGTGCTGATGAAGAGCCTCCCTGTTCCCACGCTGTGGTGATTCTGGGAAACGTCATGGAGAACTCTGCTGTGCTGGGTTCTGCTGTGCTGTGCTGGGTTCTGCTGTGCTGGGTTCTGCTGTGCTGTGCTGGGTTCTGCTGTGCTGTGCTGGGTTCTGCTGTGCTGTGCTGTGCTGGGTTCTGCTGTGCAGGCTTGCTATGGCGGCAGCTGTTCCCCTTGACTCTGGACTCCTTTTTTTTTGGTTTGTGACTCTTAAATTTCAACATACTAAAAAAAATGTTTGTCGTCAGATGTGATCCTATTCCCCCGGTACCGGCTCTCCCTGCTCGGGCTACACATGTGGACAATGACTTTGCCGGACGTGCTGCCAGGGAGACACTGCCCTCTGACTGTCGAGCAGAAAACATTGTATAGTCAATGGGTCTAAAATAAACCATTATTCTCCAACTCCTACATCTGCTGCGATGTGTGTGAATCGCTCTGAATGGCAAGCGAAGCAGTTTTACATGGTGACAACAACAATTTGCATTTATATAGAGCCCTTCACATAGGGGCAGCATCTCAGGGCACTTAACGGAATAACTTCTCCCCCCCCCACCCCCATTCCATGCATACTCTGGGGTCCCCTAAGCCCTAGCTCAGGACAACAAGAATTTCCATTTGCCCTTCATACAGGGCAGCGTCTCAGAGCTTAACAATGCCGGAGGGAGGGAGGAGGTGACCATAAGGACTGTCTAAGAGGAAGATCTTCAGTCATGATCTAAACGACAAGCTGTGTCTAATCCTCTCGGGATTAGGTTGGCATAGTGTGTCCCTCTGGGGAGAGACAGAGAGCACATTCCATTCCAGATACGGAGGACATTTGCGTGTGTGGCTGGCATACACATGGAGATCATCTGAAGTCTGGTTTGGATACTCTTTAAGCAGGTGATGGGTTTCCACATGTGCCAGACACCCGGCTAAACAAAGAGAATCTTTAACTACCGTTATCATGGGCAGAAACAAAATTTGGAGGTAGATTTTACACAAAAATAGAGCCCCCAAAACACCGGGATTTATGGTTGGAAGCTGACTATAACAACAACAAGAACAAATGACATTTGTAGAGCGCATTTCACGTCGGGAGGACGTCGCAAGGCGCTGGACAGTCAGGGGTCAGGACCCGAGCATGGGGGAGGGATGGGGATAGGGGTGAGAGAAGGCTGAGAGGTGGGAGGGCGACTGAAGGCACTATCGAAGAGGAGGGTCTTGAGACCGGCTTTGAAGGGAGGAAGGGA